ATATATGTTTATATTACTTTTATTAAAGGTTTTTTGTAGCTCTAGAACTTAATACTATGAATAAACTACTATACTTCACTTTTTGTATATTCTTAGTATTTTGTTTACCAATGATATGCTAATATAAAGGATTGATTCAATTTCTTTTTTAGAATATCCATTATAGTACAAATAAACAATATGCTACTTAAGATCTTCACTATAACTGATAAGATCGTGGTATTTAAATTTTATATATACAAGAAAAAAAAACCTCTCAAGATTACTATTAGAAATTTGACAAACAATTTTTGTTTTAAGTAAGAATTTTTTTTAAAAAATGACAAAATTTTCAAATTCAAGTATTATCTTAAAGTGTAAAATAAATTCTAGTAGTCAAATAAATTAATTTTTAGCCACATGTTAAAGCATAAACTAGATTTCTACATAGTAGTATATTAAGATAACTTTTAGTAATATATAAAATACAAAATAAATTATTAGTAGTATGCTAAATTAAATAGTATTTTAATAGTATATTAGTGTAAGAATAATTTATTAACAAAAAAATAGTTGGTAATAGTTTTAAAATAGTATTTGATATGATTATAATAACAAGAGTTCAAAAGGAGTGCTGGTAAAGCCATACTTAACTAGAGCAGACCAATAGCATATACATCAGTAAGATTAAACTAAGTGAGAATTTAGTTATAGAGAGACAAAGAAGCCTGACCTTTAGAGAGCCTTGTCAAAATAAAGTGTATTTCAAACTTTGATTAAAGATATCTCAATACTCAATTAAATTTAATAAATTTTTTTTATGTAAATTCTACTAATATCTCTAAGTAAAAAAAAAAAAGTTCATTGGATTTGGCCAAGTGGATGTTGAAATATTTTCAATTTAAATTTTAAGAAGTGTATTTCAAACTTTGATCAAAGTATCTCAATACTTATTTGGCCAAATCTAATAAATTTTTTTTTTTTACTTGTAGATATTAGTAGAATTCAAATAAAAAAAAATTCATCAAATTTAATTAAGTAGATATTGAGATATCTTTGATCAAAGATTAAAAAAACCAAAATGATCTACTGTATATTATTAGATTTTTAAATTTCTGTATAATACATGATATATGAAATTTGCTGATTACAGTAATTTGAAAAGCATTGTAATTAAAATTTTTTTTTTAATTCTTTAAGAATACAGAATTAAATAAAGAAGGTTTGGTCAAATTTAACCAGATAAGTGCCAAGTAATCTTTGTTTAAATTTTAAAAAAGAAATTTTTTTTTAATTTTATTAAGATTAAAGCTTTTTTTAAAATTTTAGTAATGATTTTTCGATAACTATTAAACAAAATTCAATAAACTTTTTTTTATTTTGATTCTACAAATCTATAAAATTAAAATAAAAAAAATTTTACCAAATTTATCAAAAAGTTATTACAGTCAGACCTCTCTAAATGCACGTCATCAGGACCAGCACTAGCACGTGCATTTAGAGAGGTATTGCATTTAGGGAGGTAAAAATCTATAGATATAATATTAGTTGGGCCTAAAAGAAGACGTGCATTTAAAGAGGTGTTGCATTTAGAGGGGTAGCATTTAGGGGGGTTTGACTGTATAGACTATTATAAAATTAAAAAGGATTTGCTATTTTATATTATACAAATCAGATAATTATTATGTGTAGAGAAAATTTCTTGGAAATAAGGTGTATAATTTATTTTTTATTATAAACTTTTATTTTATTTTCTGATTTAAGAAGTTCTGCACTATAAAAGTTTAATTATATAAAAAATTTAAAGAGTAAAAAAAATAAATCAAATAAATATTTTTAATTTAAACTCTTTTTTTATTCCTGCTTCTTTAAATCTTTAGCATTTTTTTTACTAGTAGCATTCTTTACTTTAATTTACTTTGGTATTTTAATAACATTTTACAGTATATTTTGGCATCATCTTACTTCCAGTAGTATTCTTAAATCTCTTTGAATTTTTTTGCTTAAATTTTTGTAGCACTTTCTATTTTCTATTACAGTAATATATATATTTTTTTCTATATATATAGTTTTTTTTTGTCTAAATTTTTGCTTCAATGTTCAATAATAATTTTTTTTTTTGCTTAATAACTGATTGATAGGTTATGTACCTCAAACATTATATAGTTTGAGGTACAACATATCAGTTAATCGAGATGTCACACAGATCTTGTGATTAAATTTTTTACTATAAAATTTGAGTGATCGACACTTATATGAAATTTTCAATTTCATAGTAAATTGCAATGGCATACCATTTTTAATCGTCATTTTCAGGGGTTTTATAAAAGAAAACTGTGTTCTGGACAATGTGAAATAATTCAGAAAGGTAAATAATTTATTATCTTTATGATTAAAGTAAGGATAATAACAAACTTGAAAAGAATTTTGTCTTCAAAAATATCCTTTTGTTTCAAAATCTATAGTATTAGTATAGTAATAGCAATCTACTACAAAGAACAAAGTTGCTAGTAAATTCTGTGCAAAGGTTTAAAACCACTCAACAAATACAAACTTACAAAACTTTTAAATCTATTTTTAGGGTATGAGTGGAGAAAAAACATTAGCTAATGCACATTGCAAGAATACTACATTGACTTGGATTAGAAGAATGAAAAGAATTAGCTGGCCCACTTTGCAAAAACACTACGTTTGAGACTTCTCTGGATCTTAGTTAAAAGATAAAGTTGAATTAGAAGAATGAAAAGCATTAATCGATTCACTTTACAAGAACAATATGTTACTTTTCTGGAATAATAGATTAGAAGAGCAAAAAGGTTAGCTAATATACTTGGTTGGAATATGGCAAAAAGTATTAGCTATCTTATTAGTATTTAATTAACATTCTATTTATTTTTTTACTTCATTTTATAGGGTAGAATCTTGTTTTTCTGTGAATTAGGTTTTGTTGGTATGAAGGAGAGGCTTAATAGATAAAAAACTGTTGAGTGGGCTAAATAAGATTTCAATAGTGGGAATATTTTGAAAGGCTTATCAAAGCTATAACCAATGTGTTTTACATGAATACTATAATGATTTTTTAAAAATCATATAGATTTTATTTATTACAATTGTATTTATTGTATATTAAATAAAAAAATTGTAATTGAATTAAATAAAATTTATTAATTATTTTATTTTGCTATATCTATATTATATTGTCAAATTTAATTTATTAAATAAATTTAGTTTGGATCTAATTAAAATAAATAATTTTTTATTAAAAGTTTAATTTATTAATCATATTATTATTAAATTTTATGCCCAGTGCCAATTTCACAGTTAACAAAAAAAAAAATTCGCACACTTAAAAAAAAATTTTTATACAAAAAAAAAATTTCACACTATAAAAAAAAAAAATCAAGAGCTTTCTGCACAAAAACACGAATACTACAAAGTATTTCACAGTACTAATTCATCATTATGAGTTAGTACTATTATTGGTATTAATTTGACGAATTCAAATAGAACTTATACAAGAGAAAAAACTCGCTCAAGACTAAAGTGTGTCCGAAACTCTACAAATGATGGCACCAAAATGATAAAAGAAATGATGAAAGGTTAAAATCACTGACAATATTGAACAATGAAAACCTGGAATTTTTACAAGTGAAAGAAAAAGAAAACTAAAAAAAGCAAACCAAAAAAAAAACAACATATCTCAAATCTGATTCTAGTTTCTGCCTTGAAGCAAAAAATAAATGTGAAACAAAATCAAAGCAGAACTAGATAAAAAAAAAAAAACCTAAATCTATGCCTTCTTGCTATTGATATTTTATTAAAAAAAAAAAAAAGAAAGAAAATCTTATTAGCAAAGATTGCAATCTATATATTATTAAACAGTTTTTCTTAATTTTCAGCACAATAATTTTAATATAACAACTCTTTAAAGATGCATTTTACTAAAAGCTCTTGCTGGTATGTATCTAACAAGCTATTTTTCATATCAAGATCCTGAAAACTTCAAAAGAATCATGTGAAAGAAGGCAAAACAATTGCCTATCTTTAAAGGGGTCACACATTACCAGGTGACATTTATACATGTTGGCAAAATCCTAACTTACTATAGTTTGGGATTTGTCCATCATCCCAAATCCCAAATTCTAGCAAAGCTAATATCTTAAAAACTTTATTAATAATCTTTATTTAAACAAATTGTATATATTAATATAGTTATAAATAATATATTTACAATATATTAAAATTATTTATTTGATTTAACCTTTTATAAATAGCAATTGTTTTTTTATTATTTGGAATTTGTCCGGGTTTTGCCAGCAAGTATAGTGACATTAGTTTTTTGTATACTTTATACCATTCACTTCGTTGGAATCCTGGCAACTTATTTGTTTTAAGGAATGTTATTGTTATAACTAAGACTTTGGGAAAAAATTTTAAAAACATGATTCCGTCAATTTGTGTAATTTATGAAATTCATATGATAAAAAATCAAATGTGATATCTCGATCAACTAATATATACTATACTATATATAGGATATTAATTTATAAGAAGACTTTTATATGATTGGCTATTTAAATCAATTTAATTTTATATTATTTATATAGTTTAAAGTACTTTTTAAAAAAAGAAAACTACAAAGAATAAACACAAAAAAAGTATATAGAAAGTTTTATTAGGATTGTAAAACTCAGTTAGTATAATAAAAAATATAGTAGATTATTACCATGCTAACTTCTTTAAAACAAAAAGGGATTTAGATACTTTTTAATAGTGGAGTTCTACAACCCTGATAAAACTTTCTATATACTTTCTTTTTTGTTTATTCTGAGTAGTTTTCTTTTTTTTAAATAGTACTTTAAACTGTATAAATAATGTAAAATTAAATTGATTTAAACAGCCAATCATACAAAAGTCTTTCTATGAATGTCATGCACTATATGCGACGTTACACGGACATCAATCAGTTATCAGTTAACAGTTAAAAATCATTCTTGCAGCTTGCAATATTATCGCTAATCATGGTAGCTATTCATGAAATCCTTAAAAAACGTAAGTAGATCTTTCATTTAACTTCTAATGTGATCTAAGGCATTATTTATTCCTATTGATTATTGTTCTTAGGTATCCTCGAGGCCATAAGAAAAGCAGATGTGCAAGGGGGGTGGAAGGTTGTGGTAGTAGATGAGCCTGCACGTAGAATTATAGAATCGGCCTGTAAGATGTACGATATTCTCGAAGAAAAAGTCACCTGTAAGTTATATATTATAGTTTATTTTCAGGAAGGTGCAATATATTAATTTTTAATCCAATATTTAGTGGTAGAAGATCTCGAAAAAACTCGTCAATCTTATCCCCTTGAGGCAGTATATATTATTACTCCTTCACAGGAATCAGTTTCTAAAGTGATTGAAGATTTTACCAAGCAGAGTACACCTTTATATACTGGAGCGCATGTGTTTCTTACTTCACGTAAGTTTCTTTTCTTAGATCTATTGTTTATTATAATGCAGACCTTTTATTGATTGTTTCTTTATTTAATGCACAGCCCCTGAGCATTCGGTCTATCAAAGGTTAATGAGTTCGATGATGCCTACAAATTTATTGAAAGCATATAAAGAACTTTTTATTGAATTCCACGGTAAATATGAGAATTAGAATTCTTTTTAATACGCAAACATTGTTGAATAGTAATCAAAAAATAGAACTTTGTACAAAATTATGAAATAAATTATTCATAATTATGTAATTAACTATCAGTGCTTAATTTTACACAATATTTATAACTCTCAACAATAGCACGAGAGGCACAAGTTTATTCGTTCGAATCCCCTCAAAGTTTCTTCCGATTGTATTCACCGGTAGAAAACAAAGTTAACGCGGTTTTTGATGGTGAACTAAAAAAACTTGCAAAACAAGTCAGTATAATATTTGATATTTGTGTTGTTAAATATATATATCAATTAGACCTATTAAACGTTTTTTTGTTTGTTCTAGATTCTATCCATTTGTGTTTTATTAGAAGAAAACCCTTTGATTCGTTATCAGAAAGGAATCGATCTTGATCCCGATTATTCGAATAAATCATTACCCTTTAAGCTGGCTCAACTAGTACAAGCCGAGTTAGATAATTATACAAGAATGAAAAAGCAACTTGCGCCTGGAAGTATGCAAGTAAGTTTTTTTTCTGGTTTTTAATATGTCAGCAACATTTAATTTATTATAATTTCTTATTGCATAAATAGCAAGAGACGCAACGCAAGCGATCCGTTTTATTTATTATGGATCGAACCGTCGATATGTACACTCCAATATTACATGAATTCACTTATCAAGCGATGGCTAACGACCTTCTGCCAATTGAAAACGGTCAAAAATACTCATATAGTTACGCGGACGAGACTGGTGCCCCAGCAAATAAAGAGACTACATTAGATGAAACTGATTCGATATGGGTTAGTATACGGCATAAACACATGAAGGACTGCATCGATCAACTTATGACAGATTTCAATAAATTTTTGGTAGAAAACGAAGGCTTTAACGACAAGTAAATACAAATGGTATATTATTTTATATTATTGTAAAAAAAAATGCGTATTAATTTTTAATTGACCCTTAGAGATAAAGCTGCAAATTTGAATGATATAAAAAAAATGTTGGCAACCTTACCCCAATTCCAAACTATGAAGGAAAAGGTCAGTAAATATAATATAGATATTTACATACCGGAGTATCTTCGAGTTTCAAATTAACTTTTAGTTTAAATCAAAGTATGCTGTTCACTTGAATATTGCACAAGAATCTATGAGCGCGTTTGATAAAGAAAGACTTGCTGAAGTAGCTACAGTTGAACAGGTATTTAACATTAAATTACCGTTCAGGAGCAAAACGTATGTGCTTAATTTTTAGATATAAATTTATTAATTTATTTATTTATTTATTGAAACAGAATTGTGCCACTGGATTAACATCTGATTCTCAACACCCTAAAACATTAATGGAAGATATGATTCCTATACTAGATAATCCTGTCATTAGGTAACCGTGGAAACAGCGATTATTATTTAATATTTCTATTATCGATTGTGATTATGACAATAGTGCAATTTGTTTAGCTCAAGTACCAAAGTAAGAATGCTCATGCTTTACATAATGTATAAGCGTGGTATTTCAGAAGAAGACCGCCTTAAACTATTGAATCATGCGAGGATCTCATTACCAGAGAATGAATCAATTAATAATTTAGAGTTTTTTGGCGAGAAGTTAGTGAAGACAAAAGTATGCAATTTATGCAATTCTAATGGTTAATTGATTAATACCTGACAATTCCACTATTTAAATTTTTTAGGGTGGTCCAGGCATTATGAAAAAGAAAAAATATAGACAACCACAAGGAGATGATATTCACTATGAATTTTCCCGGTATATCCCTAGATTAAAGAATATTTTGGAGGTGCAGTGGTTTTTCTTTTTTTTTTCTTTTTGATTTATTGGTATACAAGCTTCATCTTATAATATGTATCAATTTGTTAGAGTCATATCAACAAAACTCTAGATAATGCTGAATATCCGTATACAAAAGATCCAGCGGGTGGACCAGATGGTTCTAAAGCCTCGTCTGATTTAAGAAGGTGCGTAGATTCTAGGTTGTCTTAACACAACGTTAATATATTAAATGATCTAATAATAGCTCAAAATGATTTACATTTAGTGCTCGACCTACATGGTTTTTGAAAGGCCAGGAGGTAAGTTGATCAGAATTTTTCTTATTTACTATTGAATCGTTTAATATTAAATTTTTTATACTTTATTCAGGCCAAAAATCCCCGTATAATAGTTTTTATAGCCGGTGGTGTGTCATATTCAGAACTCCGAACCGCATATGAAATCACCACAAAACATCGCCAAGATGTCATTATTGGTAAGTTAATTTATTTATTTGCTTTTTTATTAGGAAGAATTAGTCCGTAATGTTCTTTTTTTTTTTTTAACATGCTAGGCTCAACACATATTATAACGCCTCGGAAATTCGTTGAAGATCTGTCACTTCTTCGCAAACCGCCTACGCGTTCATATTCACCACCAAAGCAAAGACCGTTACCCACGCCACCAACCACTCAAAATTATAATCAGTACAGTAAATCACCATCATCTGACTATCGTCAAAGTCACCAAAGTGGTTATTATCCACAAGGTGGACCATATCCACAACCTACACACTCACAGCAAGGTGCTTATCCAGAAGGCAACTATCAACATGGAAATTATTCTTACACTCAATCAAATTCCGGTTATCAACAACAAGGCTATCAGACAAGGCCACAATATATGAATCCGAAACCATGATCGATGTTCCATTCATTTTAATTTTGTAGATAGAGTGTATAGGGATGTATTTATTCTTGGCTATTTTTTTTATTTCCAACTTGTCCATTATGAACGTATATCATTGTTACACTTTTTCTTTGCACTATTTACTATATATATGATCATTGTAATATTAAGCAGTAGAAAGTAAGCATTGTATAATGATAATAGTTCACTATCTAATGACTTCGAAATAATGTGTTGAATAATTTATCATTGAGTTGAATATACTAGTGGAATTGTTCTTTAACATCTAGTTATTAAATTAGTCACAACCAATTGAATTAATAAATTTATCGATTAGTTATAACCATTTGCAATATAATATTAATGCAATCGATGGCGAGGCCTTCATGTATATTTCTGACTAACTAAATTAAAGAATGAAAACTCGTTAAAAATTTGTACCGATGAAGCATTTATAGAGCTTTTCCAAATCTGTCCTTAGGTATACGCCTAAAAAATATATGTGAAAAAAAAAATTATAAAATAAAAGTTCAAAAATACGAGAGCAGGGATACAACTAATTATTAGAATTTACTGTTGTACGATTTTCTAAAAGTTTCAATAATCTAAGGATGTATGTAGAAACAAGGACATATCACTATATCAAGATCACGGGGTATTTTTATTGGATTACTAATATTCTTTAAAGTGAAATTTTATAATTAAAAAAAAAAAGATATAAGAACAAAGATTGTTAGACTCAAGGATATGTCTTCTCAAGTTTTAGTATAATTACAATATTATGTTAATCTTGTAAATAGTTTATCAGAAAATCTATTTAAAATGTGAAGACAGGTTATAATATTATTACTTGTCTAAATAGTTTAATTATTTGTTTTCTGAAAGTTTTACAAAGAAATAAATATTTTTCAATGTATTATTTCTTGGGTTTTATTTTTTATTGCACCTGCAATGTATTGCACCCCCACTATATCTCAAAATTTTACTAGGGTAACCCCTGTCATGTAACTAATAAAAAATAATCCTCTCGCGATTTTACCTAACCCCAACCCTAACCCGAACACTAACACTAACCCTAACCCTAACACTAACACTAACCCTAATTATTATAGGGTGCACCCTAACTCTAATTATTATAGGGGTGCACCGTGCAATAAATTATAAAATCCTTATTTCTTAACTTCTAAAAAATCTTTAAATCTCAATTTTATACTATTAGACATAAGACATGTTCTCTTGGTTGCTGTTTAATATAAATCAAATAAATTGACTTACCTATATATATTTATATGTAAAATTTGGCAAAAAAAATACATTTCTTTAATTTACTCAAAAAAATAAAAAGCTATATATCAAGTAATTTAAAAGGACCTTGAGCTAAAGTTGTTCAATTTTTTTTATATTTTTTAAGTCAAATAACTAACTTATTTAAAGTAGTAATATGATTGGCTAAAGCAATCTTTTAAAAATTAAAGAAAGTTTTACTAAACAAAGGTTTTTTCTAGCTTTAGAAAAACTTGTAAAGAAGGTTTTTAGAATCCTAACAATAGTTAAATTATCCAAATTGGCTTGGTGGATCCCAAGGTACTTGAGGTTAAAGATACAAATATAGAGATCTGCAAAGTCACTGTTATATGAAGAATAATTGTTTATTAGAAGATTATCCTTTGTGTAATAGTAATTTTGCAAATCCTTATATTTGTGCCTTTAATCTCTAAAAATCTTTTCTACAAGTTTTTCTAAAGCTAAAAGTGATCTTTACTTAGTAGAATTTTTTTTAATTTTTAGAAGATTGCTTTAGCCAATTATATTATTATTTTAATTTTACAGAGATTGTAAAGACAAAAAATATACCAACTTTAAAGCAAGATTCTTTTAAAACTATTTGGTCTTTAGATTTATAAATTTTGGTAAAAAATTATTGGATCTTCTTTAATATAAGTGGGCAATATAAAAATATTATAAGATTATAATATAAAAAAACTCTAATCCTAACCTTAATCTAACTATAAATTATACTATAACTCTCACCTTAATCTTAACTAATCTCAAATTTGCTTAAATTAGTTCAAATAGCTATTTTTATATATTATGATCTTATATATATTATTTCTATATTGCCTACCTATACTAAAGATCAATCAAATTATTAAATGCTAAAAAATATAAGTCCTATATTTAAAATTATTTTTTATATTTATTTTATTAAATAAATTAAAAAAAGGTATTTTTTTTGTCAAATTTTATATATAAATTTAGATAAGTCAACTTTATTTGATTTATATTTGACTCTTGTAAGGGGATATATCTTATGCCTATTTAGTATTTTTTTTTAATATTAAGGTGATCACTTAGGTCCTTGGCACTTAGCTTTATTTAGATAAATACGATATTACATCAATTTCATGAGGATACAACTAGCCACACGTGTACTTTTGGTACCTAATTTAAGTAG